CAGCAAATAAAGTACCTGCTTGCAAATGGGGAACCTGAAGGGGACAGCATGTTTCCTATTATTGTTTTGATATTAGCCTTTTTAATACAAAATTGTGCTCCATCAGAAGAACCACCCTGAGCCAGTGAGCCTCTGCTAATCCTGACTCAAATAAAGCTACCATATAATGTCACTCCCTACCCAGAGTTAATACTGGGTCTTAGTGGACTCATTTCTTCAAATGAAGAGATGTGGCCCCATGATTATTAAAGCCATTTTTAGCACTTATGGACTACCTGTCTCAGCTTTCCTGGTTTATTTGTCTGGAGTACCTCTTAAAAGCGTTGCAAACTTTAATTTTGTTCCACCTGTAGACATTGCTTTGTTCACCTTTGGTCATCATATTTTCAGAAAAGGATTTAATATTTGGAGGGGAGATCTAATTCTTACAGAGGAATATTTTTGTTTGTTTTTTCTGTAAACTGAGTTGATGTGATACAATTAGACGCTTCCTCTATGGCTGTATAGGTAAAATCCTATGAGAGTAAATGTAACCCTTTCAAGTAAATGTGATTAAGACATGCATGTACTTATTCAGCAGTTAGAGTGGCAAGCATGGGATGGTAATGGTGAGTTGCTTGCTCTCCACCTACCCCTTGTCTGTACTCAGTTGTCCAGGGCTGGAGGAAAATGCAAAATAATGCTGATAGGTCTCACTTTAAATTCATGACCACCAACTACAAAGAGGCCAGTACTGCTGTCCAGCATTCCTTCCATGCTACCTATTGTCTTGCTTTTTTATATGAGTATTTCACATTTTCTCCTCTCCTCTCAACTATTCATAGCTCCCTTCCTTTCTCCCCCATCCCAATGCTGATGAGAGAATAAAAAAATAAAAATCAACCAGAAGGAAATGTCTAACCTTTCTCCCTATCTAGTCTACTAATGTACCTACAGCTGTACTCAGGTACTTTGTGGGACTTCAGCAATTAATATGCCCTGTTATTATCTAAGGCCAATCCCTCACTTATTTAATTCAGATTCCCCGCCCCCCCCCGCCCCCGCCAACCTATGGCCATCTCTTTAGCAGTTGTCCCTTCTTTCTTCTGTATTGTTAATCATTCCTCTTTCTTCTTTACCAGGTAATTCCTATCAGCATACTCACATGTTGAAATAGCTCCCATCTTTAAAAGGAAAAAGGGGGAAAAAAACCAGTTCTTCCTGGAGACCTCTCAGTTCCCTACAAATATTGCCCCATTTCTCTGTACCTCTTTGCAGCAGAAGTCTTCAAGAGTTGTCTACTCTAGCTTCCCATTTTCCCTTGAAATTTCTCCATTAAGGCTTTCAGCCCCACCTCTCTGCCAAAACAGCTCTGATCAAGGTCATCCATGATCTTTCCAAAGACAAATCACTGATCAGTTCTGACTTGCTCTAACAGCAGTACTTGATATAGTCACACTTTCTTATACTCTCTTCCTTTGGATTCCAAGACCCCACACTTTCTGCTTTTCCTCTGACTTCAGTGGCAGGTTGCTCCTCATTTCCTAGACTTTAAACTTCCCCAGAGTCAGTTCTTTAGCCCCTTCCCTTCTATATTCACCTCCTATGTCAAACTAGTAGATTCTATCTTGTGGTATAAAATATCTGTTCACTAAAGACTACTGAATTTATATCTCTAGCTTGGATCTCTCCCCTAACCCACACACTCTCATGTCCAGTGGTCTCCTTGATTTCTCCCTGTGGGTGTCAGCCCAAGGTCAGTTTCTTTATTTCCAGTGCCCCAAACTGGTTTCTTCTACGGTGTTCCTTATCTGTAATTGCTCTTAGCAAAAACTGAAGTCATTTCTGATTCCTCTCTAGGGACCTGCTGCTTGCCTGCCATACCTTCAAAATATACCCAGAATCTTACCATTTTTCACCATCTTCATAGCTACCCACTCTATCCAAGCCACTTCCATCTCCTGCATGGATTATTCCATCGTCTTCTCGTTGGCCTCCTTTCCTGTCTTTATCTCCTTTTTCCATTTCCGATCTCATTAGTCTGGCCACACTGGCCTACCTGCTTCTCCTTGAAGGAGCTAAGCACCCTTCACACTTCAGAGCCTTTGTGCTTGCTGCTTCCTCTGCCCGGAATGTTCTGCCACCAAACATTCACTGGGGCCTCCTGCTCCATTCAAATGTTCAAATGTCACCTTGTCGGAGAGGTCTTTACCCGAAAATCCTATTGATACAGCACCTTCCTCTTGCCTGCATTTTCTCCAAACATAATTATTATTAAATTCCCTCCTTTCTCTGAGGGCAGGGACTTTGTTCTCTCATGACTATATCTTTAAGACCCAGAACCAAGCCTGGAACATTCTGGTGTTAAATGAATGGAGGAAAGTAGTGGTGATGATGGTAGTGATAGAGATTCATGATGATTCTGTTAGGTATTAAATCCCCAAATTACTTAATAAAGCTTTTACAGACTTCACACACAACTTTTTCAAACACTGTGTAAAACAAGTTAGGTCTGTATACACACAGACTTTAACCAGTCTAAAGCACAATCTTACCCACAATCCACTTCAGCCTGTATTTAATGATGAGGCTGACTAGCCAACATTTAAGTAATCACTATGCAGTAGACACTGTGCTAAGATTATCCAGTTTAATTCCCACAATACTTCTTTCATACCATTTTATGAAAAAGGACATGAGGTTTAGTGAGCTTACACTGAGGCCAGCTGAAGGTAGGAAGTGTTGGCCTTGGGATTGGATCTCAGTGTGTCCAGCTTCAGAACTTTTTTTTTTTTTTAGGCTAGTCAAGTGAAGCAGTGGGAGTGGAGAAGGAACAAAGAAATCTGTAACTGGTTGTGATCAATCAGAACTTCTTAAGAATGATAGGACTGTCTGGGCATGGTGGCTCACCTGTAGTCACAGCACTTTTGGGAGTTTGAGGCGGGTGCATCAGCTGGAGTCAGGAGTTCGAGACCAGCCTGGCCAACATGGTGAAACTCTGTCTCTTCTAAAAATACAAAAATTAGCCAGGCATGGTGATGTGCACCTGTAGTCCCAGCTACTTGGGAGGCTGAGGCAGAAGAATCACTTGAACCTGGGTGGCAGTGAGCCAAAATCACACCACTGCACTCCAGCCTGGGCAAGAGAGGGAGATACTGACCAAAAAAAAAAGGGGGGTGACTTCTAACATAAAAGCCTCCAGGACTTTTACATATGACCTTTACATCTTGGTCATTTACATATTTACATACTTAAATAGTAAAGTATTTGAGAAATAATGTTTAGTTTTAGAAACCAGGAGTTAAATGTTGTGATTGTTAAGCAGTAATAAACATAAATGATAAATGAGATACCTTTTTAAAACTTTGAGCTAAAAAGTTAAATCTCATGGCAGTTTGTCTAGTGACCTAGGTTAGCTTTTGTGGTCTGGTTCATACAAATATGTTCCAATACCAAAACCAGTGTTCTGTTGCTATGGCTGTGAACGCTTTTGTGTGTGAGTACATAGATACCAATAACACAGAGCTGTGGCTTGGAGTTGTCTGAGTTACTTCTCTATAGAGAGGAAAGTGGGAAATGAAACCTCAGCTTCAGATTTGTACAGTTAACTTTGCAGTTGTCTATTACTCTTCATAAAAACAGCCTTGAAGTCAAGAGTAAACATTCTATAAAAGTAGATAAAACAAGAAGAGAATTGCTAAATATAAGGGAAGAAGATATCAGTGAAACAAACCATGGCTAATCCTACTGTTAATATTCTGGTTCTCTAGAAGAGACAGTGCCAACTTAGAGTTGGAGAACAAAGAGACCCACTCTCCAATTTTTCCTTCTTCTGCCACCCTGCTTACTCTCCTGGTCCACAGAGTCATGAATCCCCTTCCTGAGGAAGGCCTGAATGATGGGACAGTAGTAACCTGGGGGTTTTGGTGGCATACACACAAAAATGGTCTGAGAGAACTGACATTTCACTTAAGATCCCAAATGCCTGTACAATGAGTATAGCTGTCAGTGGAACCTGCTCCTAGACAAAGGCAGGTCCAGACTGCAAATACTGTGCTGTGCTGGGCTTTTGTAGAAGCTAGGTTTTTACACAGTCAAGAAAGTAGTGATGCTCTCTGGGAGAGCTGTTAACCAATTATGCTAAGCTAACTCCTGTTTATTTAGGTATTTTAGATAATATGCTGAAAATTGTCAGTAGAGACATACTCATAACTACCATGAATCTTAAAATATGGCTCTACACTCAAAATAGGCTATTGTCTAGTAACTGTGAAAACTTCTTTGAGGTTCTCTTTGTTCTTTTGGGAAAAACATCAAAAATGTGAATTGGAACTATCAGAGGAATTGTACAGTGTTCTTTAATTCATTCATAACATGAGAGCATATATTGTTTTTGTCGATCTTATGTGAATGCAACAACCAAGTTTTGTATAATAGTTGCTAGTATAATCTTGAGCTATTGATTCTGATTTCTTGATTTTATGCTTTGTGTTAGGATGGCATGATTCATTATGAGTTTAAAAAATGTCGATATTCATTTCATGGTATTATGAGTATGCATATAGTTCAGAATATCCCGTTTCTTAATTACAAAAATAAATTGCTGAAATGTAATTCTTTAAAATTTTAGAAAATAAGTAAGGCTGTCTTTAGATGAGACTGTTTATGAACAGAGAAATAAGATAGGAGGTGACATGGATAGACAATTAGTAGCTCCTCCTCAGGATTAGTCCAGAAGGTGACACAAAGTATTCTTATTGTGTTCTTTTATTTTTGCAGGCTTTGTGTCATGACCTTAATTTCTTTTTCTATTCCAACATCTGCTAGCTTTTAAATGGAATAATTTCTTTGGTATTCGCAGTGTTTGGGAGATCCTTTGAACATGCTCAGCTATTGTCCCCAAGTAACTGACTGGGTCAAATTTAGGACTGGACTTGCTGTGGACTTAATAATCAACCCTTTTTGGCTTTAAAATATGACATGTCCTTCATTTCACTGTTCTCTTTGTCTTTCCTAAACAGGCTGCTGATACTCTGGCTGTGAGGCAAAAAAGGAGAATTTATGATATTACCAATGTCTTAGAGGGAATTGACTTGATTGAAAAAAAGTCAAAAAACAGTATCCAGTGGAAGTAAGTTACAAAGCACCCTCTTCTGAAATCTTTATTTTTGTTCTCAGTGTCCGCAAAATTTGACCTTTCCAAGATTTATCTCTCCCAAATCCTCTATTTCACTCAGGCCCCCTCAGTTTTCCGAGCACACACCTCTCTGGGCCTCTTTGTCACTCCTATGGTGGGGTGTTCCCTTGGATGTTCATCTCTTGGATGTTGGAGTTTCACTCTTAAAGTTCAAATCTTACTTTCTCCCTCAAACTATTACTCATTTGGCACACATTGCATACTGTCTTGTATTAATCTCTCTCTAACTCTTTACTCCTCCTTGAGAGCAAGGACTACTTTCATAGGAATTTGTACTTTGTAAGTAGCAATTGATTGAAATGCATGTTGTCATTAATTGTGGTCTGGTTATATGTTTGAATTAACCAACAATTTCTGTTCTTCTAATGTGTCCCCTTTGACTATTAATTTTTGTTTTTGTTTTTTAGCCAAAATTCTACCAAAATACTAAACAAGTTGTAATTTATTTTACCAGCACCTCAGTCACATCCTGAGACTGCTGGGTGTGACTGTGGAGCACACTCTTTTGGCACCCAGTCACCAACCAGTCTGGTCTTCCAGACGACGAAAAAAATCACTCTAGAGAAGATTGAGAGTTTTTGTAATTTGGTTGTTCTTGTCAATAAATTTTCTAAGCAAGAGATATGGTGTTTAAAATTCTTAAGGATTTTAGTACTTGATTTTAAGTGTAAAAGACTTTTGTCTTGAATATATTACTGTTAGTTTTATTACAGTAAAAATTAAGTGATATTAACCCAGATCTCATACTGAGGACGTTAATTCTCATGTTTTTAAGAGGTGTAGGTGCTGGCTGTAATACTAAAGAAGTCATAGATAGATTAAGATATCTTAAAACTGAAATTGAAGATCTAGAACTGAAGGAAAGAGAACTTGATCAGCAGAAGTTGTGGCTACAGCAAAGCATCAAAAATGTAATGGATGACTCCATTAATAACAGATATCCTTTAAAATAAGTTATGAATATACATATAGCCTTGGAATATGTATGTGTATGTTATTTCAGTCTGAAGGTCACTTTAACTGTTTTTAGACAATTAAGTTTTATAAGTGAATATAACATTTTAATTTTATAATATTCTTATATACTAATATTTTTTAAATGTTACCTTAAGTTATATAGTACACATCTATCAGCATTATAACTATATAAGTTATATAGTACACATCCATTAGTGTGTTGCACTGAGGGGGAAAAAGAGATCAGTCAACTCTCGGTCTACCTATTCACTGAATGCAGTATGCTAGCCAATGTGCTTAAGGGATCTGTGAAAATTAAGTGCATAAGCATTTTTAAATAATTGTGTTCAGTGTTCAGAATTATAAAATTCAGGCTGGGCGTGGTGGCTCACACCTGTAATCCTAGCACTCTGGGAGGCTGAGGTGGGTGGATCACCTGAGGTCAGGAGTTCAAGACCAGCCTGGCCATCATGGTGAAACCCCATCTTTAAAAAAAAATAATAATAATAAAAGTATAAACTTCAGCAGCTCTCAAAGTTTTGAAAAATTTTCATTTAAAGATGAGATATAAGATGCCCACAATCAATCCTTGATACTTTCTGCCTAATATGAACTCCAAAATAGTTCCTACTGGAGAAAAGGGGTCTAAGTCGTATGTGCCTATCATATTATATTGGGGGAAAAACATTATTGACATATCCATGTGTTTCTTACAAACTACTGTCTTCTCTTAGATATCTGTGATTCTCTTAGTTTATGAACTTACCTGTACTCTTAAAGAATGTAACCACATTTTACCTTGTAGCACCTCATGAAATTTTGACTGATGTATACAATATAATTTACTTTTCATGTTTTCATGGCAGACCTCCTCTCTCCCACCCATACATTCTAGGTGGAATATTCCTCTGCCTTAATCATCCCAGGGCCAGGTACTAGACAACTACGGACTACCTGCATAGCTTAGAGCCCACCAAAATTATCCAAACTAGGCCAGGCGCAGTGGCTCACGCCTGTAATCCCAGCACTTTGGGAAGCCAAGGTAGGTGGACCCAGGAGTTCAAAACTGAACTCCTTCAGTCAGGAGTTCGAGACCCACCTGGCCAACATGGTGAAACCCCATCCCTACTAAAAGTACAGACATTAGCCAGGCATGGTAATGCATGCCTGTAAACCCAATTACTAGGGAGGCTAAGACAGGAGAATTGCTTGAACCCAGGAGGCAGAGGCTGCAGTGAGCCAAGATCTCACCACTGCACTCCAGCTTGGGCAACAGAGCAAACTCCATCTCAAAACAAAACAAACCGAAGTTATCCAAACCAGCTAACTGTAAAGTGTTCACCCCACCCTGCATTTCTTCCTCCCACCCCCGCCACCCATGGAGTCTTGCTCTGTCACCCAGGCTGGAGTGCTGAGTGGTGCGATCTCCGCTCACTGCAGCCTTTGTCTCCCACCCCGCCCACCCCAGGGTTTAAGCAATTCTCCTGCCTCAGCCTCTGGAGTATCTGTGATTACATGCACTTGCCATTATGCCCAGCTAATTTTTATGTTTGAGTAAAGACGGGTTTCATCAATTCTAGACTAGACTTTCTAGACTAGACTTCTTTTTTATGTCCATGTGCGGCAATCCCTCTATGCATATGGTCAGGCTGGTCTTGAACTCCTGACCTCAAAGGATCCACCCACCTTGGCCTTCCAAAGTGCTGGGATTACAGGAGTGAGCCACCACACCCGGCCACCCTGCAATTCTTTCCCCAAGGAAACCCCAATTAAGAGCTCTAAGCTTCTGCCTTCCCCTCGCTCCTGTCTTCTGCCTCCTGACAACCTTGGCATCTTAACCACATGGCCCTGAATAGCCTACCTTGTCTCCTGTCACTAGGACCTATGAATATAATAAACTTTGTTTTTCTGAGCTTCTCCTCTTGTGGCTGGACTGGACTGACCATTTCATACAAGAACAAATAACAGTGATCCCAGAAGATTCTTGATGTGGAAGCTGATCTGATGGCTGATGGCCTTCCTTTCCCCATCCATTCCCTTCCCCAAGGAGCACTTGCCTCCATTAAGAATGTGCACTGCTTTCCATCTCTCTCCTTAGGGTCCTCAAATGTCACAAAAATCAGGATGGCTTCTTCTAAGAGCAAAGGATGGGAACTCTTTTTATTGTCTTTGCCTTTCTAAACTAGACTTTTTTTTTTTTTTATGTTGTTTTGCTCGTTGCCAAGGCTGGAGTGCAGCAGTACAATCTCAGCTCACCTCAACCTCTGCCTCTGGGTTCAAGTGATTCTCCTGCCTCAGCCTGCTGAGGAGCTGGGACTACAGAAATGTGCCACCAAGCCCAGTTAATTTTGTTTATTTAGTAGAGACGAGGTTTCACCGTGTTGGCCAGGCTGGTCTCAAACTCCTGACCTCAGGTGATCTGCCAACTTCAGCCTCCCAAAGTGCTGGGATTACAGGCGTGAGCCTACCTGGCCTAGACTTCTTTTTTAATCTGTCCATGTGTGGCAGTCCTTCTGTGTATATGTTGATTTAGTTATTTTGACCTTCAGATGTACTATCTTTAATTTAAAGGCGTAGGGCTTGATATAAATGTCATTCCTTAACTCCTACGACAGTACATTTTCCTATGTAACTCATGAAGACATCTGTAATTGCTTTAATGGTAAGTACCATTAGACTTTTCCTTGCATTCTTCCTTTCAGCCTATTTAGTGTAGAGTGATTCAGAATTCCCTGTGTCCTCATCCTGTCATTATTTTCAGAAGTTGTGGACATTGTTCTCACTCCACTGTGCCATGTATTGATAGGCCGCTTTTTTTCTGTTTTCATGAGAATAACTGCTTTTCACAGTGTTCAGTTCATTAGCTCCACTGGTAGGCATCAACTGTGTGGGGGAGGGGAAGGGAGCAGGGGGAGAGGGGAGGCAAAATCAGAGCAGGATTAAGCAACTTTCAGTGTCACACAGTCACAGAGTTAGTGACCAGACTTGAACTAGAACATGGTTCTCATCAGCACTGTTTATGAAATTATATGCAGCAAGTATGCTGATCACAAATGAAACCCAGAGAAACCATGAGGAAAGAATGAGGTGAATCCATCTTATAATCAGGAAACCTATTCCTATTCAATTTGCTGCCCTGTGTTTTCTCCTTAAAATAACAATATCATGTTAATAACTATAGTTATTAATGTAACTAAATGGGGGGACATGTGTCCCAAAATGATAGCACAAGTAAAATGAAATTGTACATAAAAGTATGTGTATTATCCACCTGTTAAAAAAATTTCTGCCAAATACCTCATCAAGTAGAATCTGACTTTCTGGGTAAGCTTCTGTTGGTAATATGTATGGGCCTATTGCTCTGTTTTGCCACTGTATTTCCGGAGTTGTTTAAGGAAGTTTGGGGAGAGGTCTGTTAATCAGCAACTCAATAGAGATCTGTTGTAGAATTTGGCTTCAAAAATAATACATTCATTTAAGCTCAAGATTTCACTGTCTCCTACCTAATCTCCAGTATCCTTAGATATTTAAATAGTTCTAATAAACAGTGTTATTTCATTGAGGCTAAAGGGTTTTAAGAATCTGAATTTACAGGAGTCTTAGTGAAAGCAAAATCAACTTGAGCTGAATTTGTTAATGAGAATCATACAGCTAACCCTGGTATTTTACCCAGTTCTAAGAGCTACTAATACAAGTATTATCTCATTTAATCCTCAGAATCAATCCATGCAGTAGGCTGTGTATCTCTCATTTTATAGAATTAAAAACCAAAGCTCAAGGTCACCTAGTTTGGGATTGAACCAAACCAAACATCCTGATTCCAGAGCCCATACTCTTGCCACTGTATTCCATGATCAACAGTATTTTATGTGACTTTTTATATTTACTTTTTAACCAGGTGATACACTTTTGGCCATTCAGGCACCTTCTGGTACACAACTGGAGGTACCCATTCCAGAAATGGTATGTAGGGTAACTTTTACCTAAGTGGGAAAAATGAATCTACTGTCTCAAGAAGGACAAATATATTTTCTTTAGCTGAAATTGAGCTAATTGTTTTGTAAACACTTGAGTTACTCCTTTCAAGTTTTATATTTGAAAGTATTGATACCTGAATTTGTATGTCTTTAATACCTTGGTAAAATTATAGAACTGACTGAATCATAAATGATTTTTAAAGATTAGTGGGAATATCCTTAGTCATTTGTTGATATTGTTTAGCTCAAATAGATTTTAAAAAGTAATTGGAATGCTTTCACAAGTGATTTTTGTTTCATACAAAAACTAAAACTATTATGTAAAATGATCTTCAGGCTATGTCAATAAGGTGTGTATGAAACAAATGAATATTGCATTTAGTCTTGGGCCCTAACCCCAAGACAATCTATCCCCAAGTAATCAAATAATTTAAAATGATTTAATATTTTGATTAAATAATTATTTAAGTTTGAATATTTTAAGTTAGGAAAAAGTAATGATATGGCCAATAATCTATAAAAGTCAGTTAAAGTGACCACATCTAGAACTGGTATAAAAATCGCCACTGAGGAAAACGTTCAATGTAAATATCAACACTGTCTGGCTTATTAAGTCAAAGACATTTTTCGACTCTATAAATGAGTATCTTGATTTTAGTTTTCAGATTCAGATTTTTAAAAACAAACTAATTTGAAAGTTATCTACTTCCTTCTCTCACCTCCCTTATTCAAAAAGTTTGCATTTAGACATTTGTATTACTGGAGTCAAGCCTCAGGATACAGATTACTTTTTTCAGCTGGAGGATGTTATATTCATTTCTCTGTAGGAGAAATTAGTTTTCTTTATGCTTGCAGATGGGAAAAAAAAAGAGTTTGATTTGTGAAGAATGTTAAAATGACCACATCTATAGTGGCCAACTCCAGGGGATAGAGTTCCTGTATATGGAAAATGCCTGGAGCAGTGCTGGGCCCTGACATATATAATTATACATGGTAACAATGGATGGTTGCCAGAATTCTACAACAGAGAGTTTTTGATGATCAGTATCTATGAAAAGCTTATTTTTTAGAAACCAGTGGTTTAGGGATGTCAAAATTACATTCTACTCTAGGTCTCTACTTTTATGTTTTGACTTAATGACTTTATTGTGTTGTATGAATTTAGTAAGTCCATAATAGCTTTGCCTGTCTTATTTTACTGTCTCAAGTTAGCTAGAAATGTTAATAATTATACATTTGTTTATACCCAATAACTTCAAAGGGTCAGAATGGACAAAAGAAATACCAGATCAATCTAAAGAGTCATTCAGGACCTATCCATGTGCTGCTTATAAATAAAGAGTCGAGTTCATCTAAGCCCGTGGTCTTTCCTGTTCCCCCACCTGATGACCTCACACAGCCTTCCTCGCAGTCCCTGACTCCAGTGACTCCACAGAAATCCAGCACGGCAACTCAAAACCTGCCTGAGCAACATGTCTCTGAAAGAAGCCAGACTCTGCAGCAGACATCTGCTACAGATATATCTTCAGGTGGGTTCAGAGCCTTTCTTTTGTAAATTAGAAAGAAATATAAATACAGGTTGGATATCTCTTATTCTGCCACCAGAAATGTCCCAAGCACTTTGGACATTTTGGAATATTTGCATATACATAACATATCTTGGGGATAGGACCCAAGTCTAAACACAATATTCATTTGTTTCATACACATAGCCTGAAGATAATTTTATACAATAGTTTTAATTTTTGCATGAAACAAAGTGGCTTGACTGCAGTCTATCGCAAAGTCAGGTGCAGAATTTTCCATTTGTGGCACATATAGGGATGTAAGCTTTTATCCGAAGTTTACTTGATAAGGTCCTTTCGTCACTTGGTAAGTCTAGGATAAATTAGTGAAATATGTTCCAACTACCTTTAAGAAAAATCAAACTAATATAGACCACAGTGACTTACATCTCCTGCTTCTCCATATTCTTTGTTATACTTTCTATTTGGGAAGCTCAGTTTTATAGAAGTGATAAATGGTCCCAACTCCAATTACATTGGAAATCTTGCTTTCCTCAATTGTTTCATCTATAAAATTATAAAAAGCTAAAGCCCTTCCTTCACACTGCGTATCAGGAGTAGAGAGCACAACTCTTAATTCAGCAATACCTTACTGATTCCAAATAAAGGGAGCATGGTAGGTAATCTCTCAGTGACTACTGAATGAATGAATTGTGCCAATATAAATATCATATTGCAGATAATTTAGAACTATATTGTGTATAATCCAAATTGTTTATTTTACCTCTGGGATGTATCTCATTGCTAAAATGGGAGTTCACAAGTTAAAAGAGACGCTAACAAGATCTAACTGGACATCGAATGTTTTTTAGCTTCTTTTTGCCCACATCTACTCCTTTCCTTCCCCTATAAATATATCTATACTATAGGCCATTGGGATGCACAATAGAAAATGTAGTCCTAGCCAGGTGCGGTGGCTCACACCTGTAATCCTAGCACTTACGGAAGCCAAGGCAGGTGGATTACCTGAGGTCAGGGGTTTGAGACCAGCCTGGCCAACATATAGTGAAGTCCCGTCTCTACTAAAAAATTAGCTGGGTATGGTGGTACACGCCTGTAGTTCCAGCTACTTGGGAAGCTGAGGCAGAATTACTTGAACCCAGGAGGTGGAGGTTACTGTGAGCTGAGATAGCATCACTCTACTCCAGCCTGGGCGATAAAGTAAGACTCCATCTCTCAAAAAAAAGAAAGAAAATTTAGTCCTTAAAAGCTTATAATCTAATTAGAATGTAAAGCACGCAAGCTTTACATCATTCAGCTTAGACACAATTAATACATTGGCTTCAACAAGTATTTTTAAAAAGTGAGCATTCAGGTTATATGGTTTCGTATTTGGAAATCTTATGAAGTAATCGGAGGCCACAGTAGAGCGGGCCTTGAATTTCAAGGTAGTTAAGACATTTATCCAATAAACCAGTGAAGATCTGTGACCAAGGAAATAGCACAATTAGCTATAATGGTGTGCACAGTAGTAATATGATTAGGAAAGATGCTTTTTGCCCTGGGAAACACAAAGGCGATGGATATTGTAGATGTTTGCAGTTATGTATTTGAGAGAACATTAGAGCTAAAACAAGGGCCAAGTGTGGTGGGGCTAATGCCTGTAATCGCAACACTTTGGGAAGCCGAAGAAGGTAGACTGTTAGAGCCCAGGAATTTGAGACTAACCTGGGCAACACACCTATTGTTAAAAAATTAAAAATTAGCTAGGCATTGTGACATGTGCCTGTGTTCCCAGCTACTAGGGAGGCCAAGGTGGGAGGACTGACCTGGGAGGTCAAGGCTGCATTAAGCCACAATAGCATTACCGCACTCCAGCCTGACTGACAGAGCGAGATCTTGTCTCAATAAAAAAGAGGCTAAAGCAGTGATTACAGTGGGATTGGGAAGAGAAATAATGAACAGATTAGACAAACAAACACTGTTAGGCAAAATAACATTTGATATGTAAGATCTGGAAATAAAGTTAACGAGGAATGGAAAGTGACGTTTTAAGGTTGAGTAACTGGGAGAATTATGAAACTACTGACTGTAAAACTGAGTCAGTTTTGGTAGAACGATGATGAGTCTTTTTTTTTTTTTTTTTTTTGATAAATTCTCACTTTGTCTGCCAGGCTGGAGTGCAATGGTGTGATCTTGGCTCACTACAGCTTCAACCTCCTGGACTCAAGTGATCCTCCCACCTCAGTCCCCCAAGTAGCTGGGACTATAGGCATGTGCCACCATACCCAGCTAATTTTTTTGTATTTTTTGTAAGGATGGGTTTTGTCATGTTGCTGAGGCTGGTCTGGAACACCTGAGTTCAAGCGATCGGTCCGCCTCACTCAGCCTCCCTCCCAAAATGCTATGATTATAAGCATGAGCCACCACATCTGGCAGATAATGAGTTTTTTGGTCTTCGTCTTCAGTTTGGAAGTTTCAAAGTAATGCCAGGCACAGAATAGGTAATCATGAAGACAATCTATCCACAAAGAACTCGCAAATGTGCATCTCACTCAAGCTGCTGCTGTGACTATGTATATTTAAATATAAGTACCTTTTACCGTTAACAGAAATGTAACGAAACTTTATCATATTACTATTTCCAGTAGGATCTATTACTGGAGATATCATTGATGAATTAATGTCTTCTGATGGTAAGTAGGTTAAAATTTTTACTAACTCATTCATCAGTAATGTTTTCGTGGAATTTATAAGAGAAACGTGATTTAAAAGAAATGAACATATATTTGCCAACTGCTTTAGTATGAAGATTCATGAAAATTCTCCCTTAATACTTATAGTAAGTAATAGGCATCCTTTGGAATTTATTTTTCTTTGCTTGCATTTTGAGGAAAAGGAATCCATATGGGGATGCTTCTCACCTTCACTGAAAATAAACTGTTGGTACTGTAGCCCTTTCCACTCCTGAAGGATCTGGCCCAAGAAGAGTAAAATAACTTGTCTAAATCAGCAGGTGATCTGAACACCTGCTTTTGTAAATACCCCTACCCTGGCCAATTTCAAGCTGCCAATGTGAAGTAACAGAATTAGTATTAACATTAACCACGTTGTTTTCTAACCTGAAAAATTCTGAAATATCAGTTAGCTACAATATGCTAATTACTTTAATAATTTCTCTCCTTCTGTAAGTTCTTGGATCAGAGTCCTGATTCCTAACAAACATAGTAGAAACCTACCAAGTGGTAGCAGATAAGTTAGCAAATGTTATAGTAATTAAAGGTGTAGTAAACATATGTGTAGAAGCAGAGAACATCAGCACACTTTGAAAGCCCAGTTTATTCTTCTGTTTGCAAAATGGCAAACAAAACACTTTCATTAGTGTTTTTTTTTTTTTTTTTTTTGAGGCGGAGTCTCCTCTGTCACCCAGGCTGCAGTGCAGTGGAATGATCTCAGCTCACTGCAACCTCCACCTCCTGGGTTTAAGTGATTCTCCTGCCTCAGCCTCCCAAGTAGCTGGGATTACAGGCGCCTGCCACCTCACCTGACTACTTTTTGTATTTTTAGTAGAGATGGAGTACCACCATGTTGGCCAGGCTGGTCTCAAACTCCTGGCCTCAAGTGATCCGCCTGACTCGGCCTCCCAAAGTGTTGGGATTACAGGTGTGAGCCTCTGCACCTGGCCTCATTAGTGCTTTTTAGTCACATTATCTTAGTGTTCAACCAATGAAAAATTTGACTTCTATTTCTCAATCTAATATCAATAATCAATGTATCAATTATTACTAAATGAGAATCTTTCAAAATACACATTACACAGTCTTTAATTTGGAATGATGTACTTGATAGTATTTTGTTAAAGATCATTAACCATATGTAGAAACCATCTTTAACACTGAATTTTTTTGTTTGCAGTGTTTCCTCTCTTAAGGCTTTCTCCTACCCCGGCAGATGACTACAACTTTAATTTAGATGATAATGAAGGAGTTTGTGATCTGTTTGATGTCCAGATACTAAATTATTAGATTCCATGGAAACCTGGGACTGTTATCTACCTCTAACTGTATAACATTTTAGACTTCTTAATAACCTAAGTATTTAAAATAATGAATGTAACACCTTTTTAGTTCACTGATTCTGAAGTGTTCTTCCCTAATACTTTCTTTACTTCACAAAACTTCAACCATAAAAACAAAGGGCTCTGATTGCCTTAGGGGATAAGTGATTTAATATCCACAAACCTCCCCACTCCCAAAAGTAACTATATTCTGGATTTCAACTTTTCTTCTAATTGTGAATCCTTCTGTTTTTTCTTCTTACAAGAGGAAAGTTAAAGGACACTATAGGTCATCACAAACAAGTTGGCCAAGGGCTCATTACTTGTTTGTCTTATATTTTTACTGCCGCCAAACTGCCTGTATTTTTGTACGTCCTTCTATCCAAACAGACATTCACTGCCACTTGTAAAGTGAAGGATGTAAACGAGGATATATAACCGTTTCAGTGAACAGATTTTGTGAAGTGCCTTCTGTTTTAGCACTTTAAGTTTATCACGTTTTGTTGACTTCTGACATTCCACTTTCCTAGGTTATAGGAAAGATCTGTTTATGTAGTTTGTTTTTAAAATGTGCCAATGCCTGTACATTAACAAGATTTTTTAAAATAAAATTGTATAAAACATTTAATTTATTGGTCTTTGTGGGGAATCACTACTGTTTTACAACTGAGCCATTAATTTTGTAGCTTCATCAACATTAACTGGTTTGCTTTCATGACGCCGCTGAGGAATCTGAAAGGAGAAAGACTGTATTTAAAAATGCAGACAACAAGCAAAATGACTTACATAATCTGTTATCCAATTTAATTTTTCTAGTCATACCTTTGGAAGCAGAACAATTAATCTGTTTATTCAGATAATATTTTAGAGACTGGATATGCTATTTACACTATAGAGCCAAGTATACTAGAGAGCCAAGTAACACTAAAAATTACACTCGACTTTACAGGCTTTGAAAATTTATTAGATTTCAATTTGCTAGCCATAAAAAAAGCAAATGATTTCTGCTTACCAGTTCTTTCTGCAGAGGGTCAAGCGAAAGGCCTTTTGAGAAATGTGCAAGTTCCTTTTGTACATCTACAAAAGCTTTATTTACTCTGTTGATTTTTTCTTCATTCATAATGTTTATCTTTTAAAAAAGAAAAATAAATTAATCTATGATCTCAAAACATTAAAGATAAGATACATTCAACCTTAACCCTGTTAAATCTAAAATCTAAAGACTCTTACCAACAAATTAGGGATAATTCACTCTAAAATCCTTATAGACTTATTGGGAAATTTTAGACAAAAGGTTTTGGTTTTTAAAAAATGGGATTTAATGTGGATATGCCTTGCACTTTCTGGTACAGAAGGCCAAAATATGTGACTGTGATATTGTGATTCATATTAAGATATATATGTGAGTGTGTGTGTGTGTGTGTGTGTGTGTGTGTGTCTTCATCCTCATTTTCTGTCAAACAGCTTTTTAAATCATTCTATCAAGAGGAATAAGAGTGTCTTGAATGCTAATGAGACGGATGGTAGCTGGAAGTCTGTAGAATGCTTCAGGATGATGGCTGATCAGATAAAAAACACAGGGTTAGAGGATTAGGACTTTCTGCTCCAGGGAGAGGAGTGGGGATAAAAGTTAAGCCCATCACTAATGGCCAATGATGTAATGAATTATGCCTACATAATGAAGCCTCCGTAAATCTTCATAAAAGAACTGGGCCCAAAGAGCTTTTCTCCGTAAAAGAACTGCGTTCAAAGAGCTTCTGGATAGCTGAACACAATGGAGGTTCCTAGACTGGAATGCCCAGAGAGTAGGGAAGCTCCATGCTCCTTCCCATGTACCTTGCCCTCTGCCACTCTTCCATCTGGCTATGCATCTGCCTCCTTTGTAATATCCTTTATAATAAAATAAACTGGTAAAAGTATTTTCCTGGGTTCTGTGAGCTGCGCTAGCAAATTAATTGAACCCAAGGAGGGGGTCACAGGAACCCTTATTTATAGGTGGTTGGTTAGAAGCACAGCAAAACATCTGGGGCTTGCGATTGTCACTAGTAGTCGGGGAGAGGCTTAGGACTCAACTCTCAACCTGTGGAATCTGATGCTATCTCCAGATCTGCAGTGTCAGATTTGAAATAAAGACACCCAGCTGCTGCCTGCTGAAAATTCATCTGCAGAATTGTTAGGTATGGGGGAACCTCCCCACAAATCTAGTATCAGAAGTGTTGAGTGACTGTAGCAGAGTGAGAGTAAGAGAAACTGAGTTTGTTTTTTCCTATATCCTTACAGTGACCAAAATCTTTCTAGGCTAAAGTGATGTCATCCCTCATCTATACAAGAAATCTGGATCAAATACTTTAAGTGCCTTCTAACATAAGTATATCTCTGAATCCTTCCTTGACGTTCTCGTCATAATGGAAGTCCTCCTCTTTTTAGTGTAACAGGTAGGGGTGGTGCTCCTGTTCTTCACTGCTGCTGCCAAACAATTTCTCCTTCAAAACTCTTACCTCGGCCAGGCGCAGTGGCTCACGACTGTAATCGCAGCACCTTGAGAAGCCAAGGTGGGTGGATTGCCTGAATTCAGGAGTTTGAGACTAGTATAGCCAACATGGTGAAACCCTGTCTCTACTAAAAATACACAAATATTAGCCGGGCATGGTGGTGTGCACCTGTAATCCCAATTACTTGGGAGGCTGAGGCAGAGGAATTGCTTAAACCAGGGAGGTGGAGGTTGCAGTGAACTGAGATTGCACCACTGCACTCCAGCCTGGGTGAGAGAGACTCCGTCTCAAAAAACAAAATCCTTACCTTTTTATGCTGCCTACCCATAGATCTCTCTCGTACCTCCTGTCCAAATAAAATAACATTCCTCAAATCCACCAAGCTTTTCTCTAGATCAGGGCCTCTGCACTTGCTATTTTCTTTGCCTTGAATACACTACTCCCAATACTTCCTAGCTCTTCGCATTGCTAGCTCTTTACCATTCTAGTCTTGGGTTTCCATGTCAACTATGAAGACCATCCTATATAAAATGTCATCCCCAAAACTCCCATCACTTGATTTTATCCTTAGCATTTATAAAATCATCAAACTGTTCAAATAAAAGCTTAACTCAGCTTATGAAAGTTGAATGATAAAATGTTAGATTTCTATAGACTATTATAATTAAACTGAGTCCTGGAGAGCTGAATCCACCTACTACCGAAACTTGAAAACATTTTCTTAAAAATTTTTCTTAAAAGAATCTAGTTAATCTTGATGAAGTAATTTCTCAAGTATTTTGAAATATAAACAAAGAAAAAAAAGAAAACTTCAAATTGTGCATTTCAAAAAATATTTTAAATCTTCATTTTACAGGTTTTTATCTGAACTGCACATGTCTTCAGAGAGATACGAATTATTGAGGAGAAAAAGAATAGGTGCTCACTGACATCCCATGTCTTGCCTCTATTAATATATTCTTATATTTGAGTTCAAAGATAAGAACTGTTTCCCATACTATGGTTTTTAAATGAGTTACATGCCAGTAAAACTATTAAATTGAAGCTTCACACATTTGTAGTTAAAATGTTTTTTTCAACATTTGTTTTCAAGAAAGGAGATTTTTGTTTTGTTTTGTTTTAGACAAATGCTTGAAACCATCCTTACCTTTCTAGGAAAAATTAAGAACCTTTTTAAAAAGTAATGGCATATAGTTGTTCAGTAGCTTACAATGACACTTTGCTTATAAACAATGCAGTCAGAGTGCTTAACTAATACTCACCTTCTTAAGATTAGTGGTAACTGGTTTTGCTTTGTTTTTAGCCTTAAAGTTTTTTTGGCTTGCTATGTGAAATACATTCCTGGACTTAGGCCCTCTTAATTTGTTTTTGGCCATTGTCTAGAAAAGATAACAAATACAATCAAATTGCCCACATTTATGAACCGTAAGTTAATTTTACGTTTTTAAAGGCACAAATTAAATCTAAGAAATTCCATCTTACTATTGATTATTTGTAAAGTTGATGCTTAAGTTATTTCTATGTTTTTCTCTCCTACTAGATTTTCTGCTCTTTGAGTACAGAGTATGTATCTAATTCTTCTCTGTATCCCCAGTACCTGGCCCCTAGGAGGCATCCAATTAATATCCACTGGTTGAATTCATTAATATCATCGACACAATAACTTATTCTCAGCAGTACCTCACCACCCATCCCTCTACATACTAGTATGCTATTCTGGTTCCTATCATTCTTTAGAGACTGATCTGTCTCCTTCTTGACTTCTCTTTTATTTCTTTTTACTCTCCCCACTTTCTCTCCTGTGCATCCCATCAAAATCAGTCCTTAATCCTTCAGTTCCTACCTTCCTCTCTCCCCCTTAAATTATTTTTATGACTTCCATATTAGCTCTGTGTGAATGGCTCTTGCCTTGAAATGTTGGATATTGTCTTTGCTATGTAGCTAGAGATGCATTAAGCCAGTAAATTCTACCTTAAAACCTCTCTCATATCTGCCTTTAAAAATGTATATGAGGAATAATTTTTAAAAGATTAACAGGTATTGAGCTTTTATTATATGTACGAGCACTACACTAATGTGCTTTTAACTCATTTACTCCTTACAACAACCCTTTGTAAGAAGTACTATTATCCCCATCTTAAAGATTCAAATTAAAAAACTCATGCAACGAGAACTTAATTTGCCCAGTGTCACACTGTCAATAACCAGGAGATGCCAGGACTAACAGCCAGACAGACTAGATCAGAGATAATGTTATGTGGTATTGCACCTCATGTATAAATATAAAAGCTATACAAAAACATGGTATACTATTACTTAGTTGAGGACTGGGTTACTGCTGAAGTCCCTAGGTCCATTTGTTCAGACCACTGTCAAACTATGCCCATGGACCAAATCAGGCCAAGCACCTGTCCTTGTAAGTAAAGTTTAACTAGAGGCCAAGCACAGGTGCAGTGGCTCACACCCATAATCCCAGTGAGGAAGGAGACCCAGGCATCTGGGATTACCTCCCGCTCTGTCTTCTGCACTGCATTTCAATAGAAGAAAAGGCTGGCTCGCCGGCACCTCCTAACTTTACCTTCCTGTAAACACGCTTGGTACTGAGGAAACTCTCCGAAAGACACTGTTTTTACTTAAAACAAGATCAAACCCCCACCCACTCCTCCATCCAGAGACCAAACCTTTTCACATGCAATTCCTATAACTGTAAACCCAAAACACTTTCATATATGATTCATAAAACTGTAAACTTGAAATCTTTTCATTGTAAACCAGAAATCTTTTCGCATGTGATTCCTAAAACTATAAACCCGAAACCCTTTCGTATATGATTTCTAAGGCTGTAAACCTAAGGTTTTTCCACATGTAATATCTAGAGTATAAGCCTTATATAAAGGCAGAGCCTCCCTTTGTTAGACAAGTTGAGTTTGGACAAATTATCACTGGAGGCTCCCGGCCGTAATAATTAACTCCTTCCTTTACCATTTGGTGTTTGAGGGCTCTGTTTCTTGCAGCTGCTCCTGCAACACCAGCACTTTGGGAGGTGGATTGCTTCAGCTCAGAGGTTCGAGACCAGCCTCGCCATCATGGCAAAACCTTGTCTCTACTAAAAATACAAAAATTAGCTGGCTGTGGTGGCACACACCTGTGATCCCACTTACTTAGGAGGCTGAGGCAGGAGAATTGCTTGAACCTGGAGGGCAGAGGTTACAGGGAGCCGAGATCGCACTACTGAACTCTAGCCTGAGTGACAGAGGGAGACTCTGTCTCAATTAATTAAAAATAAATAAAGTTTAATTGGAATACAGTTATGTCCATTCAATCACGTGCTGCTATGGCTGCTTTCCTGCTACAACTATGACCCACGATGTCCAAAATATTTACTGCCTGGCCTTTTACAGAAAGTCTGCCAACCCCTGGCTTAAGCCATCTATCTGCACAGTGGCTATCTGGCACCGAGCTATGCCATCGACCTTCCCAAAGTTAAAAACATTCAACAGCTCTCCCACATAAGGAACAACATTCCTTGGCCTGGCATATTACCGGCACGCTGAATCTACCCTAAATCCGCCAAACATATCTCTTGCTATGCCTCTATAAACACTGCCCTAGACAGCCTGGTCTAACTATTCTCTTGCACAAACACCTTGAACATTCTTCCTTTTTTTCCTTTGCTCAGTCACAGCCTTGACTGAAATTTCTATCTTCCTTCATACCCTTGCTACATTGTGAATAGTTAAGGAACTAAAGAAACAGCAATGCTTTTGAACCCCAACAGTATTCCTCCTACTTAAAGTATGCAGAAAATACATGATTATTACAGAAGACGCAAAAAACAAAATTCATATAATAAAACTCCTCAAATTAAGTAATCCAAAATTATTCCAGTCCCGGCGCGGTGGCTCATGCCTGTAATCCCAGCACTTTGGAAGGCCAAGGAGGGTGGATCACTTGAGGTCAAGAGTTCGAGACCAGGGTGGTCAACATGAAACCCCGTCTCCACTAAAAAAAATTAAAATTACATGGGAGTGGTGACACGCGCCTGTAATCCCAGCTACTCGGGAGGCTGAGGCACGAGGAGGCAGAGATTGCGGTGAGCTGAGATCGCGCCACTGCATTCCAGCCTGGGCGACAGTGAGGCTCAGTCTCAAAAATAAACAAACATGCTAGGTGTGGTAGAGAACTTATATTTAATACATAAAAAATATATATGAAACATACATAATGACAAGATATATACGGAACATACGCAGACAAGATCAGTATTATATTGAACATGACACTACCTATCATATACACGGACCATGCGCAGGCAGCATACAGTGGAGTTTACTAGAGCTGGAGACCTCAGCAAGTTTCGTGCATAAAGTAACACACCCGTGGGGGTGTGGGAGGGGAGGGAAATTCTCTGACAACCACGTGGAAACTGATCATGAAGGACACAGCCCATAACTGGGACTCCGTCAAGAGGTGAAGGCCCAACAGGCACCCAGGTTTCGGGCCTGCTACCCGGTAGGGCTACCTGAGGCAGAGCGCGACGAAACCGACACAAGGTCTGCCCAAACTAACCCCGACCTCTACAAACTTCCCGCCAGCTTTCCGGAAAACTTACTAAACTCTCACTAGGAATTCAATACTTGCGTGCAGTTTCTTAAGCTCCAGGTGACGCCATCTGGCACGTACGGCGTCCAGGAAGTTCCGGGGAGAATGAACCAGTCAGGATTCCGCTCACGAGCCATATCCCCGCCCACAAAGCGTAGTTCCGAGCGCAGTTTCTGCTCCCCACCCTCCCAGGGGTCCCGCCCACAGAGCGGGTTCCCACCCACCTGGCGTAGTGCCGCCCACAGAGCCACCTCTGCAGAGCAAGGTGAAGTAAAAGAGCGAAGGCCCGCCCATGCTAAGTTCAGTCTCATTAGCATTCCCTGTCTTCCACGGCGTTGCAAATCCTCCTCAGCTGAAGCGAGCTTGGGGCCTTATAGACCCAGCCAAGTGTCGCCTTCCCGGCGTGGGTGCTTCTGCAGAAACTTCCCGAGGTGCTTCTGAGACTGCACAGTGAAGACAGTCTCACTGGAGGTCAGCTCTCCGTCCCGGACTCCAGGCTGTCGCTGCCACGCTCCCAGGAGGGGATGCTGAACCTTGAAGTTGGAAAAGGTCTAAAGGTATAATCTCCGAAGGGAAGATTTGTAATGAGCTGCGAGTTAGAAATGCTTTTCTCATTGCAGCATCCTTATTTCAAAAACAGAATTTTTGACAGCACTGCAAAGGCACAGGAAACCAGGCACAGTATAAAATATATAAATAAAACAGGTACCAAGGAACTTAAAACATTCAACCCATAACGTCGTCTAGGTTTTTCTGTTTTAAGAAAATTAACTCAGTTCTTCCAAGAGAATAACCCTATAAAAGCTAAGTTTTCACACGTGTCTCTTTTTGTTGAGGTCATAAGAAAAGCTGGATTTCAAACAAATGTAGATGGTAAGAATTAAAGAGGAGAGAAACACGAAGGGTGACTTTTCAGTCAACAAGGACAGGTTTATTTTAAATAAACGTGAGAGGGGGCGACTGGCCGAGTTAGGTCAGAGCCACACCCTTCCAGACTAAGAGTTTTTAAGGATTCAGGGTGGGAGAGTTCATCAGAGGCTTGGACTGCTTCTGTGCCTCTTCCTTGTGCTTATCTGGGAGAGAGAGTTGCATGTCTGTTCCCATACATCTTTCTGCAGTTGCAGGCATATTCCCTGAGTCTGCTTTTAGCTTCCCTATCTTAGTGTACCTGAAGGGAAAGGAATGTGCTTATTAAGGCCCAAGGTTTTACTGGGGCCCATTGCGTGAGGCTGAAGTTTGGCAGTTTCCCAAGAGACTTTCCCCCCTGCTTTCCTCTGTGCCTAAGCTGTCCTGTTTTACTGTCTGCTCTTTCTGTCTGCTTGTAGTTAGAAGAGAAGTGATTTCCTTGAAATGCATGAGGCTAGAAAGGGAGCTGGAACTGTTTGTCTGAGATGACAGTGCTCCTGCTCTGTTAGTAGAACTGACGTTTATATGCCATTTTGTAGCTTACACAAGATTTCAGTCTACACTATGCTCTAGGTACCAAAATAAGGTGATAAAACCACTCCTCTTTTGCAAGTGATGATACTACTAAGGTTCAGAACGAGTTTAAGTGATTTGCTAGCAGCCACAAAACAAACTAGTAATTGACAAAGCCAGACATTTTTGTAAAACGAAGCATTTTTTAAAACAATTTTTTAAAAGTTTTTATAAACTTAGCAATTCACAAATCCACACTGGTTAGTACTTGGTCAAGTCCTCTTTCCAACAAACCAGCTACTTGCTACTTACAGAAAGATAAACAATTTTTGCAATAAATCATTTTATTATGTTTACACTCATCACAAAAAAAAAAAATAAGGAACACAATAGACTAAGGAGAAAGGAATATAAATTGCTTGCCATTGTATGTTTATTCAAACTTTTGTGTTCTTTCTAAAGATTCACCTGTTAAAAACACCTAAAAATGCTGGTATAAAATACCCATAAAGTGTTAGAGTTATTCACAAAACTGAGGCAAATAAGTCAGGTATAATTATTTGGTTATTTGAATGTGAGGTTGTTGATGTATATACAGAAGCCAAAGAAATAGATGTAACAGAATGGCATTACAGTGTTTATGAAAACTGGTAGGTCTCACTTTTATTCTGAAGTGGTGAAATAACATGGTTATTAAGGCAAGAGCAGAGGTCTGAGTGAGGAGGCCTGGGTTTTTGGTTTGCCTCTCCCACCAGCCGACAATATGACCTTGGAAAAATTACTTCATTTCTCTGTGCCACCTTTTCCCATATGCATGTAGATGGTCAGTATATCCACTTGAGAAAACATGGATTATCTGCTCAACATTCCTTTCTGTATAACCATTCTTCTGCCATCAAGTGGTCCTCCTCAAGGATTTTCCAGCTAAAGGCAGTGGAAAATGCTGTCTCTTGCATTTGGTATCTTTGTGCTGGGATGATATAAAATCAAGGTTCCTGATGGCCATCTCCTCCAGCAACTTGGAGGAAGCCTTCCCACAATGAGAGCAACACACACAAGAAAACAGAACTGAACAGAGAAGAAAACTCTGATGTGATCATTTGAGTCCTTGGATGAAGCCATAGACAGAAGAAAGATCCATCCCTCTACTTCCTGAGCTAAAATACTGCTTTATCTGAGCTGAAACTACTTTGGGTTGTTTTTATTTTATTTTTTTATTAGTCACTTTTACCTGAAAGAGTCTTGACTCCTGTCCTACCTACTTAACAGGATTATTATGCAGAATTAGTGAAATATAAAACATGAAAGCATAAGGTATTATTAAAACAAAAGAGGCCGGGCGCGGTGGCTCACGCCTGTAATCCCAGCACTTTGGGAGGCCGAGGCGGGTGGATCACGAGGTCAAGAGATCGAGACCATCCTGGTCAACAAGCTAAAACCCTGTCTTTACTAAATATACAAAAATTAGCCGGGCATGGTGGTGCGTGCCTGTAGTCTCAGCTACTCGGGAGGCTGAGGCAGGAGAATTGCTTGAACCCAGAAGGCGGAGGTTGCGGTGAGCTGAGATCGTCCCATTGCACTACAGTCTGGGTAACAACAGCAAAACTACGTCTCAAAAAGAAAAAAAAAAAAATTAAACAAAAGAAAGGATCCTGTTAATTTCTAAGAACCATGTTTATCCATGTACCAAATGAACCATATATAAAGAAAATAGCTTAAAGATTTTTCATCTTAAAAATATATGCAAAAATTAAATTTCCAGTTTTTATAACAATCTTAAAGATGAGTAAAATTGTAAATAGAAAAAAAATCTTTCAGAAACCTTAGATTTCCTGGGATAGACTCAGCAGTGCAAAGATCTTTATACGAACCTGAACCTCAAACAACTGTCTTGGAAGCGATTCAACAAGTAAAGATAATTAAGGAGAAGAAGAAAATGAGGGCACACATAAATTACAAACCATCTGTAACCAAACTCATAGTCCTCTAAGAGAACAGAGCCAGCCTTGTATAGATGATACTCCATAATAAATTTCTTTCATGTATTTAACCTCCGTTGCTACACAATTTCATTCAGTTAAAATAGTTTGGACACCTAGGCTCTGGGGAAGCTCAAAGGAAGTATATAACACATTTCTATCTTTCAGGGAGGGCACAATTGTCTGGATTGTAAATGCACAGGGAACAATGATTTTTGACGGAAAGTGGTAAGAACAATTGATAAATGCACAAAATATGCTATTTATGGGCAGAGATAATTCTGAATTCTGGAAACATTCATGTTAAAAGCTCTCATTTCATTATCTCAGAGCAGAAATCAGCAGTCTTCAGCCCAAAGGCCGATCCAGTCCACTACTTATTTTTGTATAGCCCATGAGCTAAGAATGAACTTATATCTTAAGATGGGGAGAAACTCAACATAAGAATGATACATAGCAACACATACATATTCTATTAAATTCATGTTTCAGTGTCCACAAGGTGTCACTGCAGCACAGCCATGCTTATTGGTTTACATCCTATCTGGCTGCTGTCGTGGTATAATGGTAGTGCCGAGTACTTGGGAAAGAAACTGCATAGCCCGCAAAGCCTAAAACATTTACTACCTGAGCCTTTACCAATTTAATTTTTTTTTAACAGTCTCACTCTGTCACCTAGGCTGGAGTGCAGTGCTGCAAACACTACTCACTGCAGCCTCCACCTCCTGGACTCAAATGATCCTCCCACCTCAACCCCCCAAGTAGCTGGGACTACAGGTGCACACCACCATGCTTGGCTAATTTTTATATTTTTTGTAGACATGATTTTGCCATGTTGCCCCAGGCTGGCCTTGAATTCCTACGCTCATGCGATCCACACCCCTTGGCATCCCAGATTCTGGGGTTACAGGCATAAGCCACTGCACACAGCCACCAATTTAAAACTTTAAACCTTTGCCAATCCCTATATTAGAGTTGAGCAGCATGGTGGTATTATTCAGAATATTGCTGTTTTATACTCAAATACATGGGCAGTTAAAAGAATTTTCCTCCCAGCATTTCAAGAAGGTAGGAAAGCCTTAATGTCATGAGTTTGGGTTCACTTTAATCTAATGGTTATCAATAATTTTCATTCTTCTGGGCTAAAAACAGAAGCTTCCAGTTATATAGAAGATATTTCTACCTGGATCTATCTTAGGAAGTAGAAACGGGAAATGGCTTAACCCTAGGAGAGAAGATAACACTGGAGAAATTGCTGAGGAAAGGCAGTTAAGGACTTTCTACAAGTGCTTGAGACTATTCCTGTGGCCGCCCCCGTACCACAGCCCTGGGAGCAGTAGCATAAAATCTTGCACCAATAAATGGCACAGAAGGGATGGAGCTTTCTGCCTTTAAATATAATCTGGACTTTGTCACTGAGCATCTCAGCAGCCACTGTGATGAATTGAAGACCAGAGAAAGTTTCCTATTTTCTGGGCACTGGATAAGCCACTCACTTCCATATACTTGAGACTGAGATCAAATTTTTATGCCAAATTAAGAAGTAAAAGTAGGAGTCAGGTCTAATTTGATCTAAAATTTTAAGTTTTATGATGTTTCTAACACACTTATACTCAAGCACTGAATTGTTATGATGACCCTTTTTTTGGAGACAGGGTCTTCCTCTGTCACACAGGCTTTCTGCAACCTCCGCATCCTGGGCTTAGGTGATCCTCCTACCCC